GTTACGTTATTATGAGAGTGCTCTGTTTGATTCTGAAATTGTATATATTTATGTAAATATATACAGTACATATTTATATGTGTGTGTGTGTGTGTGTCCGCATCTGTAGCCTGTTATTGTCTCATTATACCGCACTGGGAATGACTCAAAGTAAATATATAAGTCGTCATGAACACATCTGTCCATCAGACAGTGAGGACTGCTGTGCCTCCTGTCATCATTAATGGACGTCTCTTTAAAATGACCGCTCAGAGGAGAGGAGTTCTCATTTCTCTCACCGCCTGCTGCTTCCCCTCCTCTCTCCTTGGTTCCCCTCCTCAGTCCTCCGCTCGCATCTCCTGTGGACGGGACTAGGTCTCGAGGATAGGAGTTGAGGAAAGGAGTCGAGGAGGGGAAATTACAGTATTGAGAAACCTCTAATGACTGCATCAGCCTTTCCTCCATGTGACCTTTGCACTTCCTTTTGGCAGGTTCTTCCTCAGATGATGGAGTTCTGCCACCAGATACTGAGGGACCCCTCGGCCGACCCCCGCAGGAAGGACGGGGCCCTGCACTGCATTGGAGCTCTGGCTGAGCTCTTACTGAAGGTCAGCCCTGCATCAGATCCTTTAAGCCTTGCTGGTGATTAAAATGATCGTCACCTCTCGTGTGTTAATTCTGTCTTGGATGTGCTGTATGTATGCTTCTCATCCTACAGAAGCGGGGGTACAAGGAGCAGATGGAGCTGATGCTGCAGAACTATGTCTTCCCTCTGCTCAACTCTCCTATGGGTTACCTTCGAGCCAGGGTGAGTGCACCCCCCTTCATTCCTTCACAGGGATTATATCTCTTTGTTCACGGTATACGAGAGAGACACCAGTTCTATGGAGAATGCTTTTAACCTGGATAGTTTATATACAGAACATACAAGCACTGGCTGATTAGGTACTGTAACCAGACCATAGATCATATTCTCTGACTCTTAAGCTCTGCTCTTACACTACAACTGACATCTGTTTAATGTTTGAACTGTAGCTGACACTACAAATCCTCTCAGTGCTGTCACTTACAATTGGTTTGTTTGATCTTCTTGTGTTAATGGTGTGTGCCTCTTCACTATTGGAATATAATATTTGAAGACTGTTTGTTGCACTAATGTTTGCTCCTTTGCTGTGTCCTGCCAGTCGTGCTGGGTGCTTCACTCCTTCAGCCCTTTGCGTTTTCAAGATGAGCTCTTACTGAGGAACGCTGTGGAATTGGTCAAACAGGATCTGATTGAGGACAAAGAGATGCCTGTCAAGGTTGAAGCCGCCATTGCTCTGCAGACCCTGGTCAGCAACCAGGAACAAGGTCATTGGAGGCATATACTTATTTTTTTGTTTAACTAACATCAACCACCTTACCGCTTCAATCAGCTTTTACTGCTCTAAGATTCTATAAAGAAAAAAAGGTCAAGTAATTGAAAGGATGAAGCAAACTACTGGATAAATATGAGTAATATAAAAAGTGCATGTGACCAAGAGAGATCAGTCAATCTGAGTCAGGAAGTAGTTAGCCTTCAATATCATAAAGGCAAAAAGCAAGGAGAGGGTCAACATACAGTATATTGCTTCAGCTGCATTGCATCGCTTAAAGGGCCTGTATATGTTATAATATATATATATATATATATAGATGGATAGATCTATATCTTAAGCAGGGATTAAATCCAATGTCCAGAGAGGAAGATCGTGTTTGCAGTTTATACTCTTTTCAACACAAATCAAGCTCAATGAACAGCAGCTTTTACCTCCTCTCTTGCCCTGGTAAAAAAACACAAGCCTTCCCACTGCTCAATCCAACCTTCATCTGTGTATACCATTACATATAAAATTACCCTGTGCCTGGACTTGATCACATAGAAAAGCCATACAGTATGTACGGCCCCTTGTGAACCACAAATAATATTTTTCCTCTGAAACAAAGTCCGGGGTTTTTCTGGTGCACTCCGGCAGCACTGCGCATGGAGGTCCATAGCAGCGGAGTCACAACACAATAATCTGCACTCATAATATTATCAGAGATGTCTTAACTTGGCGAGTAAGCACTACATGTTTATATTAGTGATGTCGTCCTCTGTCAGTGTGCAACATAAATGATGATGTTTAAAGGAAAAAAAACATTAATTTATGGCTGCTGGTTCTGTGATGGTCCTGA